TGAACGGGGAAAAGAAAGGCTGAAGGCATTCCAACCAGGGACTGGGACGGGAAAGTGAGAGAGCGGGCAATGGTAATAGAAAGAAAAAAACAGAGAAAAGAGGAAATGTAGGAAAAGGTGGCTTGATTTTTTTAAAAGGAGTTAGGCACCAAAATGGCTTCAAGAATCCGACAGAGGCCGCCGACTTCGTTGTTTATGTACCCAAGACGGGGAAAAACATCCACGCTATATATAAACCCCTACAAAAATAATCCTGTTTGCGAGGTAATCTTTTTTTCTTTCTTTTCTCGCGCGGGTCACTGGCGCTCTAAGTCGAGCCACCATGAATCATCTTTCTTATCATTTTTTTTCCGCTTCTTTTCAAGCCAGCGATGATGGTCTTCAGACTTGCATCAGCTGTTGGCACGGAGATTCCGCGGAGTAAATTTGTTTGTGTGGTTAAGGGGTTAAGGGCCTCCCACAGCGCCCCTCCCCCCAGCACCGCCACCCACGCACTGCCCACAACTATGATAATTGTAAGCCTCCCTAATGCTCTTGTTACTACGCATTCGGACGAACACAACTAAACAATAAATCAAATAACAAAATAGTACTTAAATAAAAAAAACATGAAGTTCAGGCAGGTACATACATATGCACAGTCTACTGCAGTCGCAAATAAACAAACTTGATCATTCAGTTACACGCATGTATGCATTAACTGTAAAGATCAAGCTTGCATAAATATGACTTCAGTGGAATGTGCGGAGGAAAAAGCTTAACCGTTATAGCAAAACACTTTATTTACTTCACTATTACACACGCACAATCACAATCTCACACCATACTCATCATTATTATCGGCCTCCATTAGCGTCATCATCAGTTGAGCGTGAAAGGGCCCGGATTGGAAACATGAAAGCCGACGGTCGCCATTACCCGCAGTGAGGTGAAGGTAATGGACTTACGCTGCCGGTAATCCCACGGGGATTCATTGGGCGGCACTGGGGATTACAGGTGTATCGGCGTCCTGTCCGCCTCCCCTTCCCTCTTCTCCGCGTCCCGTCCGCCTTCCACCTCTCCGGTCACAAGTATGAGTCGAAGTCCACGGATTCTTCCTGATTAGACGGGCGGTGCTCGAGTGGGTGAGTGCGGGTAATATACATGCACGGACACAGTGCAAACGCAAGCATGGACACAGAAATACACGCACAAAAGCACTCACAAAAAGACAAGCAGGCTTCGCACGCACGACCAGGTGGTCCTGTCAATGGCTCTCCCCGCCGCTTGTTATCTCTCCGCCCTCGTCATCTCCCCAGTCGTCTTTCCCTCCCTGACGGCCGACCCTGCACCTCAGCATTTCTTTTTTCTGCTAACTATCTCTTGCACATCTGATTATCTAGATTATAATCGAACATTGCCTTTTCTTCTGGCCCTTGGGTGAAACGCGCTGCTTGTCTGATTACTGTTTAAGTATCCGAATTAAATCACGGATAAGAACATTAGGGCAAAGTAGATCAAGCTGGAATGCTGTGAGGGAAGTGATCTATGTTATCGTGAAACTGGGCTGGAAAAACTCAGTGCCTTTAGACGAGATAAAAACACAAGAGCGAGTGTAATTACTCGACCCCCCCCCCTTCCCGCCGAGAGCACAGCCACACCGCGACCTTAGCAGTGGACGCTGCAGGACCGGAAGAGAAGCAGGTCGGCGGCGGCGGAGCCAGTTTTTGCGAGAAAACCCTTCCGGCGGTGATCAGGAGGCCCCGCAGGCACTCCCCCCGTCCCTCCGCCTCCCGATGCTAGCGGTGCCGCCCTTTGTCTGCGGTGCGAGTGCGACTTGCGTCCTCCTGGCGGTGCGCGGTTGAGGTCGTTTCTTCCCTTGTGCGGAGGCTGAAGTTTACGCCAAGAATGCCTTGTGGCTGCGTCAAGATCTATCATATGCGTAGATAGATGAAAGAATGTATGTTGTTTTCATGCACAAATGAAAAAAGTGAAACATGAAAGGAAGCACAAACGGTAAAATAATAAATAAAGCAATTAATGGGCCTTACTAACTACAGTATAATTTCAAGCAAAATACATTCTCCAAGTGGATCCCGAGGGACAGTACACTAAAAAAGCTTACCTTTCTTTACGTCACACCATTAACAATGCCACACTGCACCAGATAAAACCCAAACTAATGACTTGCAACACACAAGGTATCACAGCGTCACACGCCCACTCATTTGCATGCTGGGGGGCTGGCTGTGCAGCCGGAAGGCTGGCCATACCTCCTCCCCCTCCTTCTCCTCCTCCTCTGGGTTCTTCCTGAGGAGCTGGGGGCGGTTGGAGGGAGGAGGGAGCAAGAGAGAAAGGGAGGAGGATGGAGGAGGATGGAGGAGGATGGAGGAGGATGGAGGAGGAACGGGACAAGGATCTACAATAAGGATGGAATTAGGAGAGAAATTAGAGACGTTACCTCGTGGGAGTAGGGCCTCAGACGCGGCCTTGACGAGCTCGAGGAAGAGACAAGTCTGCC